GGGGCCGGGGGGGGGGGGGGCGAAGCGAGCGCGGGGGCCGAAGCGAGCGCGGGGGGCGAAGCGAAAGTAGGAGAGGCAGCGAATGTGGGAAGCGAAGCGCGAAACTACAAGGCGAAACGAAAATGGGGAACCGATAGAAAATACGGAGCGAAACGAATGTGGGGGGCGAAGAAGCGCGGGGGGCGAAGCGAGCGAAGCGAAGCGGGGGGCGAGGCGAACGCGAGAGGCGAAGCGAACGCGAGAGGCGAAGCAAACGCGGGAGGCGAAGCGAAGGTGAGATGCGAAGCGGAAGCGGGGGGCAGGGCGCGAGCGGGGGGCGAAGCGAACGCGAGGGGCGAAGCGAACGTGGGGGCAAAGCGAGAGCGAGAGGCAAAGCGAAATTTGGAACGCGAAGTGACAGAAGTCGCCGCCCACATTCGTTCGCCGCCCTCTTTCGTTCGCCGCCCGCCGTCGTTCGTCGCCCGCTTTCGCGCGCGACCCAATTTCGCCCGCCGCCCGCTTTCGTTCGCCGCCCGCTTTCGTTCGCCGCCCGCCGACGTTTGCCGCCCGCCGGCGTCTGCCGCCCACTTCCGCTCGCCGCCCACTTTCGCGGGCGGCGAGAGCGGGCGGCGAGCGCGGGCGGCGAGAGTGGGCGGCGAAAGTGGGCGGCGAAAGTTGGCGGCGAAAGTGGGCGGCGGAAGCGGGCGGCGAAAGTGGGCGGCGAAAGTGGGCGGCGAGAGCGGGCGGCGAAAGCGGGCGGCGAGAGTTGGGGGCGAAAGTGGGCGGCGACAGTGGGTTGCGATTGCTTGTCGTGAATAAGCTGTATTTTGTCGTGTTTCAGTCTTCTCTTGTCGCGTTTCAGTTTTCCCAGTCGCGAGAAAACCTTTGTTTTGCGCCGCGCGCCCAGCCCGCCGCCGCCGGGCGGCGCGGCGGCCGCCGTGGGGCCAGCGCGCGTGGCGGGGGGCCCCGGCGGCGGCGGCGGCCCGGCAGCCGCGGGGGCGGCAGCTGCGGCGCTGGGCAGCCTGGCCGCGGCGCCTGCGTCGGCCCCGCTCACTGGCCATGGCCGGGGGCGCGCCGAATCGCGAACGGGCCGCGCGCGCGCGCAAGCCGCGCCGCACAAGGTGGCCTGGAGCGGCCGAGACTCTGCGCCACCCTGGCCAAGCGGCTGTCCGATGGGTCGCGCGTTGCTCAGAGCGATCACTTAGGCCGTGACCCCCTGGATCTGACCAAGGATGCGCTCTTGGACCAACGCGACCAGGCGTGCGCGGGGGCCTCCTGTCGAAACGACGCCCATGGGCGACGTCGCACCTTGGCGGCGCCCCCGCGAGGGCCAAGGGAGCCAGAGGCGAGGAGGAAAGGCCAGTGGAGAACAACCTCGTAGACAGACGTAAGCGACTCGTAAAACAAAACGCGGAGTAACTCGCAAGTGCAAGGGGCGGCGCGGCGAAAGGCCTGGGCCCTGGATCAGGACATATCCAACCAAACCCACGACGACATCAGCCTCGAGGTTCCTCATGAGACCTCGGTCGAGCCGGAGGCGCGGCAAGCGGGTTGAGCAGCGACGCGGAGGCGCCTGGCAGCGACCGCATGTGCAATCCGGCGGCGACTGGCATCGCTCGCGTCAGACGTGCTTTGACTTGCGGTCGGCATCCAGACGCCAGCCCCCGGGCCCGTGGCCAATGGCGGCGGCGAGAAAACGGCAAGCAGCGACGGCGAGCTGGCAGAGGCGAGCTGGGCCCCCCAGATGCAAGGCCCAGAGGAGGGGGAATGTGGAGGGAGGAGGGAGGAGAAAGGAGGGCGGGGCAAATGATCGGTCCTCACAAAGCCCCCAAGGGCAGGCCTGTGATCGGGCCGTCGCCGAGATCATCCGCGGTCATGAACCACCGATCGGCCTCCGACAAACCCGCTTCAGCCTCTTCGACGATGTCGCCCTGAATTTGGCCAACAAGGTGCGAGCTGCCGGGCTGCGAGTGCAAAAGCTGGCGGAGGAGAGCCCGTTCCTGGCCACTTTCCGCGCCCTCCGCCTTTTCGACCGAAGGCTCCGTCATAACCTCCGCGCTCGGCACCTCGCGCACTTCCTCCGCATCTTCGGCCAGCGGCTCCGTCGTGACCTCCGACGCCGGCCGCCCAAGTTCCTCGGAAGGGCTCGGCGCCGTTCTCGTGCGTGATGCGTCCGAGGCCGACGATGCCCCAACTTTCTTGCGAAGGCCCGATCAATTTCTCTTGGTCCGTGAAGGGTTCGGTACGTCCTCGCGGCTAGTGGCGGTGGAAGGGTCCGGTATGCCATCCACTGGCTCGGGGGTAATGAAGCCTGCGGCGGCTGCTTTGGCGTGGGCCTTTGCCCTAACCTTGTCCCGCGACGCGGCTTCGGCGATATTCAGAAGTCGTGACTGTCTATGCTTGGAGGACTCTCGTCCCACTTCGTGCTGGGCGTCGACGGCGAGTCCGAGGTCGGGCTGGACGAACCCGAGATTGCCGGTTCCTGCTGGCTGCCGTTCCTAGCCTCCTGCCCTCCTCGTCGTGGCGGAACCGAGCTTCCGCCATGCTGTCTATCGCCTCCAATATTCGCGTCGCCTTCTCCCTCTGTCCCGCTCTGTGCCGTTCTTTCATCTTGTGACGCATGTCCAACCTCTTTTTATTCCTCTTGGCAGCATTTGTTTTTTCTTCGTGGCCGAGCCTTCTTGTCTCATCGTTTTGGTCATCACCTCGGTTTCCCTCTTCTCCTCCAAGAGATGTTTGTGCTCCACCTGGTTGAACTGCCTGGCTGGCTGCCTGCTGGACTGGTGACTGGGCTGCCAGAGGCTGCCCGGTCCCCTGCCTGCAAACTGCCCACCTGGATGTTCTTCCCTGTAGAACCGGCTGAAGCCATGCATGGAGCGGCAAAGATGCAACACGGCCGGATGCACGGTGATGCTGGGCGGGCTTTGTGAAAACACCGTTGGCTTCTTGACTTCCTTGAGCTCCTTGAGCCAACTTGAACCACCTCCTTGACCTCTGGTTTATGTGAGAACATTCATTCATTCCCATCCTCCCGCGGCTGCTCCTGTCTTCCCCCGTCTCCCCCTCTTTCATCCAAACAATTCGCAATGCCGTCACCTGGCTTGCCCGAGCGCGCGTGCGGATGTCTCTGCCGCGCTGCGACGTAGAAGTACGTTACGTTTCTGGGTCTTGGTTTCGACAAGTAAGTAACCAGGGGTCGAGTGGGCTGGGGTTCCTCATCGACGTGCGTCGTCGGAGGTCTGGGGACCTCGTCGTCGATTCTTGGAAGTGTTAGGACAATTCTGAAGGTTCCCGTGACCACGGCTAGACGCAGCTCCACCAACTGATCACGATGGGCCCAGGTAGGAGTCCAGGGACCGAGTATGAGTGGACTTCGGTTGGACGACGGCGGCTACGGCAACGAGGACAATGCTCGAGGGGGTGTTGGACGTTGGCCCTCCCTGGGCCTCCGCAGACCAAAAACGCTAGAGGCCTGCCCACACGAGCGAAGCACATTGGAACTACCACCACAATTGCAAAGAGCAGCGGGTGGTCATCGTGGTGGCGTGATGTCGCTGTTTGTCGGCGTCCCGCTCGAGGCATCATCTCAATCTCCTGCTCGGGGAGGCATCGTGGAGACATGTTGGTCCTCGAGCCCATCGCGAGAGAGGCACATGTACAGTCGGCCCTAGGCCAGAAGAACATCAGCCTCCCAGACCATGATACCACCCGATCGCCAAGTACGAACAGAGCATCCAAGGGTACCCTCCCCAGGATGCACCAAAACATCCAACAAACACGAAAAACATTCGGCTACCCTCCTTGAACCGACCTCGATCTTGTACCTCGGTCCGACCGTACGACGAGGGCAGGACGATGCCCACATCGGGGCGGAGCAGATCGGAAATGGTGGACTGCCTGGCCTGAGGGGAGTGGGGAATCGGGCGCGCCGCCTGCCCTTCCAGAGCGCTCCGCAACGCTCCGAGAGCGTCCTGCTCGGATCGTGCATTCCCCGTGCATTTTTCGGTTGCGGTTTTTTTGCTTGTTATCTTTTTTGTTTTGTTCCTAGATCATCCAGGATGGTCCTCAATGGCCCTCGCCGGAAAAAATGCACACGTCCGGGCGATGCCAAGGGAACGTGCAGGAGCGGTTGAGCGGTTTATCCGCATCCTGTGCTTGCCTGGGCGGGGAGGGCGGCCTTCTCAGACCAGCAGTGCCCCACTCGCCTTCGAAGGGGTGGGCGGGGCCTTCTGGGGAAGGCCGACCCCAGTGGCAGCCCGAGCTTTCTCTTTGGGCCCTTCTTTTCGGGCTCTCCCGTAGGCCCCTTTTGACATCTGGGGGTAATGCTCGAGGCCATACAATCGAGGTCTGGTTGCATGCACGGGACCGTGAATCCGAAACGGAACACATGTTTGGCCCCAAGTTGCTCCTAGGCTTACGATCCCAGCGCCGAGAGCGGCCATGCATCAACGGTGCCGAAGAATGCGAGTGGCGGCGGTCCTGAAACAAGCTGCAAATCCCCGTCCGTCTGCTACGCGCAAGAAACAACCCTGGGCGAGAGCGTCATCGCTGCGTGTGGTGCCGCAGTAGCAGCCTGCACTGCATGCCTGGGTTTGGTCCCGCCCCCCCCTGCATCAGCCACACACACACACACGCACACCAAAGGCCACCTTGGCGAAAGACAACTCTCACGTGAACGACGAACGGAAGCGGGTTTATAGTAGCCTTAAGCCGCGGATTACGCGGGACCGCAGCGCGGCAAGCTACATTGGAAAAGAGGGCGCGCACTCGCGACCTTGCGCGGGAAGCTTACGTGGGAATGTCGGCGCAAACGACCCCGCTCTCCCGTCGCTCACGTAGTGGACCCCAGAAACCCCTGAACCCGAGCAACTTAACTAGCATCTCTTGAGAGCACGACTATTGTCTCCGCTGGCCTTCCGTCGAGGAGGAGGCGTCAACTCCCTCGGCCCTCGACAGCAAAGCCTTTTCTGCTGCGCCACACGTGTAACCGACCCTTCGTCCGACCCGAACCCAGCGGTGACCTTGTTGGCGCCCTCCAAGTCGGCGCTGTGGGCCGGGGCGAAGATCCCGCACGCCTGGCCAACCTCGCAGTTCGAGGCGTTGCCGCGCTGCTTCGTCGCGGGCCACTCGCGGGAACTGCACTTGTGGTCGCCCGGGCGGCTGCACCGCGAGAGGCAAGTTTGGCCGCTGTAACACCTGAGCAACCAAGGAAACGGGTAGAAGGAAGAGTACTATTTGCACGTGCGCCGATGCTTGCCAGGCTCATCGTGGGTCCAGGATCGGTACACATGCCCTCATGGCTTGGCTAGGGAGGCATATAAACTGATCCTGGGGCCCAGGACCTCGGCCCAGGGCTTACGTGACCAGGACGGGTGCACGTGCATAGTTCTTGTCGCCACGTGGAGGGACAGCAAACGAGGACTATCACCAAGACTGAGCGCGCAACGTCGGTGTAGATCAGAGTCATCTTCAATTCGTGGACCGTCCTCGTGAATCGGCGACGAACTGGATGGCTCATGACGAGGATCGGCGACGACAAGATCCTGCGACACCTTGGCCATAGTCATCGTGCTTCTTTCCTCGAGCAACGAGGGAGGCGGGGCCTCATGCGCGAGCATGCAGCGACCCTACGCGGTGGCCTGGCTCACGTGGCCCGCTTACTCAGCACACCGCGCGCGCGTGGAACAGGGGGCACGCTCTCGCGCGCGACCTCACGCGGGCAGCCTGAACTTGCGCGCGAATGCCCGCGGCTGATCCCATGCTTCTGAACGTCGCTCGCTTGAGGCCACGGTACGCCCCATCAGCAAGCCAGACATGCACACGATGCCAGAGCTTCGTGCGCAAGATGTGGAAGCCACGACAGTGGGCACACGCAGAGAGAGAGAGAGAGAGCGAGACAGAGAGAGACGGCCCACCCAGCCACACCGAGGGCCGCACGGCGAACGATGGTCTGGTGCCAGAGCTCGAGGCCTCCCGCGTAATACCCAGACTTCTCTGGAGGTCCGCAGCGGCCTCGCAGAGGCCTCCGGAGGCCCAGAGAGGACTGACAGCCGCGGGCCTCGAACCCCGAGGGTCGAGGAGGAGGAGGAGGAGGAGGAGACGTAGGGGAGGTAGAGGAGGATGAGGAGAATGAGGAAACAGGAGGATGAGGAGAAAGATGAGGAGACCTCTCGGGAGCTTCTTGGGTCATTCTTGGGGCCTCCTGGGAGCTTCCTGGTGGCCCTTTAGAGGCCTCTTGGGGGCCTCCTCTTTGGCCGACGACGACGAGGAGACGTATCCAGCTCTCGCACAAGTTGGCCTCGTTATGTGCGACGAGTTTCGATGGGGTCACCAGGCCGACGAAGATAGGTTGGCGACGATGCAGGGTCGGCACGTCCGGCACGCGCGCTCACCGCAAGCTGCAAGCAAACTCGCGACGAGGACGATGCCGATCTGTGATGGGCGAGTCGGCAGACGGAACCTTGGCCTGGAGAGAACTCGCGCTCAGCCGCGGCGGGACAGACCCCCTCTCGGTTCTGGTTTTGATTCTCCCTGCACCAGTGGCCGCCGTCCAGGTACACCACCTGCAACGGAGGAGGGAGACATTTCACCGAGCACCTGCCTCCACAAGCCCGTTCCTGGACCTCTGGCATCGCGCTCGTTGCCCAATCCGTGGACCCTAGAAGTCTTGACCTCTTCAACCCGAAGCGTTCCGCGGCGCTCCCCAGGACTGGAAACGGCCTCTGGATGTTGATTAGTGTGCTGCCCAGAAAAGACCTTTCGGATGGGCTCACCCCCCGCTGCTTCCTTCTCGGTGTGACCAAAAGAAAGCTGAAGCGCGATCTGCTCGAGCCGCCAGATAGGGGTCTGGGCCTCAGGCCGAAATTGCTGGCTCCCAAACCCCTGGGGGGGGTCTCGGGCCCAGTTGGCTCGCCGCTCCAGAAACACTTGGGGGGTATTGCAAGCTTCCGGCGGCCAGCGAGGCCCCTAAGGCCCGACGGGCACTCAGTGGACGAGGCGCGCGCTTTCCTCTCACTGCCCTGCACCACCACGCCCTCCTGCCCCCGTTCCTGGAAACAGGCGCGCTCCACTACTCGCAAAGTAGCTGCTCGCAAATGGCCTGACTCCGCCGCGGGGGATCTCCGATACCTAACATCGAGGCAGATGCATGTTTTCTTTGTTTTCCTGACGCTTGCGATGTCGGCACTTTGCGAGTAGTGGAACGCACTCGGTGAGTTCCTGCCGCCTCCTGCACAATGCCGACGCACCCGCCACTGGTTACAGACCCGTGCTGGCGGCGCCGAGCGGCCTCCTTCCGTCGTCCCCCGCGCGGCGGGCCCGCCCCCGCCCGCAGCTCTTTCCGCCAGTCTCCTCCGCGCGGCGGGCCCGCCCCCGCCATGCATTCCGCAGGCTCCCGCCGGAGAAGGTGAGGCCAGTCCTCCCGAGAGCCTCGGGGGCGAGCGGCTCTCTTGTGAGGCGCCCGCCAGGGGGAGGAAGAGGAGGCCAATCCTCTCGTGAACCTCGAGGGCCGAGGGGCCCTCTTGAAAGCGCCATCCGTGGGGTGGGCGTCTGAGAAGGCGGCGGGGGCTCCTAGCAGGAAAGGGCCTTCTCAGAAGGCCCCATAAGGTAGAAACTGCTGGGGTTTTCGAAGCAAACCTCTGCCAACCAAGAAACCCCACCACCGTCTTCCGAGTAGAAGATCGACTGCATAATTGCTTGATCCCAGACTTGATCACCCCGTCGGATCTGCAACACCGTGCGTCAACTGTTCTGCGGACCCGCGGAGCATACGACGTATTTTCGACGGAGAAGTCGATTCTCGGGTAGATCAATTCTGTTGTCGATCCCCCACTCGAGTCTTAGGGATCTACTGACCCGGGTCAATTCAGACCCAGGTTTGTCAGGCCTTGCAGGATCCTGCCAGATCTTGCGGGATCCTGCGCCCAAGCCCAGGTCAATGCAGCCCTGGCTCTGCAGGATCCTGCAAGATCCGGCGCCCTGGCTGACCCCCGTTTGCATGGACCCCCGCCTCTTGAGCCCCGAAGTCTTGGGACCCCCCCTCCCCTGGGCCACCCCCTCGTGGGCCACCCCCTCGTGGGCGCCCCCTCGCCTCGGCCGCCCCTGGCCCATGGCCTCCTTGGGGGCAGGCCCGCCGCTCCCCCCCCGCCCCGCCAAGGTCCGCGGATCCCTGGGCCGGGCCTGCGGCGGCACACGAGCGCCGAAGAGAACAACTAGGAGTCAGCTGCTGGGAGGTCTTCGTCGGAAGGAATAGGCCGCGGAAGAAACGGGATTCAGCTGGATTCAGCGAGATTAAGCCGGATTAAGCGGGACTGCACGGAATTAAACTGGATTTCGGACCAGGGCAAAGTCAGAATTTGACCTCCCAGGAGTTGCATCCGAAGGAAGGGGTCTCACGCGAGATGGTACAGCGACTTTACGCCACGGCTTACGCGGGCCGCCAGCGCGGCACGCTGCAGTGGAAATGAATGCGCGTGCCCTGACGCGGGCAACTTGCGCGCTGCCAATGTCTGCGCAGACGACCTCGGTTGTGCTGCGTCGCTCACACGGTGGCGGCGGTGCCCTCTTCCCTGCTCCCGGGCACCCACAGGTGGCTCCCCTTGGCCCCCTCCTGCACCGGGGAGGCGCGCGCGACGAGGGCTCGCGGGAAAGCTTGAACACATTCAGGAAGATGAGGAGGAGGACACGGGAGGGGACGAACATGAAAGGAGACGGATGAGGAGGATGATGAGGAACATCGGAGAGGAGAGTGAGAGATGGACGGAGCAGAGAGAAGGATAATGGTGGCCCGAATAAAAAGAAAATCAAAGGGCGAGGGGATGAGATCCGGACATGAGCGGACATGGCGAGGACAAGGAGGACGAGGAGAAACGATAATAACTCAGTTATCCACAATTCTGCGCGAAATGAAAAGAGAAGTGACGCAGGGCGACGAGGGCGAGGAGGAGGAGGAGGTAAAAGAGTGAGACGCAAACATGTCCGCACGCTTCTGCGAAAAGATCGGAGGGCCATGGCGAGGAGGAATGGTAATGAGGAACACAGGATGAAATGAGAGGAGGTGAGACAAGCTAGGTCCGCTCCCGCCACTTCGGACAACCTACTGCGCTGATGCTTCCACTATCTGTGGACACATGTCATATCCGACCTGGAACTCCAACAGCAATACCCTTTATCGTGTCATGCGCAATCGGAAGGGGAGAGCTGCAAACATAGGAAGAGGTGGCGGGGAGCAGGAGGATGAGCAGGAGAGATAAGAGGAGGATGTGGAAGGAGGAGGACGAGGACGAAAATCGGCAGCAGGAACTGGAGTTGAAGGAGCGGGAGGAGCAGGAGGACCAGGGGAAGGCGGATACGGGAAATGAGGGAGGCGTCAAGGATGAAAAGGACACGGATCCAGAAAAGCGGCTTACGCTGGTGTGAGAACGCCACTCTGAACGACGACCGCGAAGCGCCGCTGCAGCGGGAGCACCATGGTCAACCATCCAGAACACTCGGACTGCAGAAAAACCATGGGGAAGACTTCCTTCGCCCAATTCTGTCTGCAATATACGCAGTGCCCGGAGAGATTCGGCCATCTTCTGGACGGAGTCAGGGGAGAGAGGAGAGTAGTACCCATAATTCGCCATCGCTCGGACGTCCATCCCCCGTGCATTTTTCGATGTCGTGCGTGTATGTGTTCGCAATGTGCTCCAAGATGCGCCTCGATGGTTCTCGCCGAGAAAGATGAACACGTCCGAGCAGTACCAAGACACTGTGCAATCGTGGAGGGGAGTGGGGGGGAGAGGAACAAAAACGCAAGGCGCTTCATGTCCCCGTGATTTCTCGAGGTCCCTGGAGGCCCTGGGAGGCCTCTGGAGGCCCAGAAGAAAGACTCAACGGCACTGCATGAACAGATCATCAACCGGGGGGGAACACACACACATACAGACGCCGATGTTGCCCGGACCTCTCCTGGGCTGCGCGCTGAGCAGGGTTCCGAGTCCGAGGCGAACCCAGCCAGGGCGACGAGGGACATGTATCAATATCGATATCTGTTCCTCCTCTGACGATGCTCGGACCTCTAGGGCCGAGGAGGAGGAGGAGGAGCAGAAGGAGGAGGAGGAGCAGGAGGAGCAAGAGGGAGAGGAGGCGACGACGAGGATGGTGACGACGAGGGCGATGAGGGCGAGGACGGTGAAGACGAGGGCGACGAGGGCGAGGAGGAAACGACAACGGAGCCACGTATATGTGCGTCCGCGCCGCCACTGGTCTCCCTGTCTATCCTCGAACCTCCAAGGCCGCCGAGGAGGACGTGGCGACGATGACGGGGACCTCGACGATGAGGGCGGAGGGGCTCTCCTCCTCCTCCTCCTCCTCCTCCTCCTCCTCCTCTTCCTCTAGGGCCGCCGAGGAGGACGCGGCGACGACGACGAGGACGGTGGTGATGGGGGCGAGGAGGAGCCGAGAGCAGAGGCTCGGCTCTGCGCGCCCGTGGTCCTCCCAGTAGTAGCCCGCGGGCGTCCCGTCCCCGCAGACGGCCTCCTGGCGGGGACTCGACGCGGCCGCCGAGCCAGCTTCCCGCCCCACTCTCCTGCGCCTTCTGCCCTCAAGCTCACACCCCCTCAGCTGCCCCGCTACGCAACACGCAACACGTAGCGTATCGATAGGGAGCTCAACGCGTAGACTGAAAACGCAGGTCTGACGCGATGCGTTCGCCAAAACGTGGGCTAAACCGTTGAGCCAACACGCCGCGTATTGACGCGGACGTTTTGAACACGGTACTGCGCGTATTACTGGCCAAAACGGGCGTATCGAAGAAGCTAAGCACCCCCCATCAACCCCCTGCCCCCCATCAACAATTACAAAACCTGAACTCTACTCCCCTCCCCCCCTGACCCTGTCCGGAAGATCTCCGAACACCCGCCAGGTCCTGTTTTTTACGCACAGGATTGGGCCGAGCTGGTTCTCCATCTATTTGTTCTTGTTTGCAATCTGCCTGCTCGGGGTGTTTCAAAAATGGTGTTACGGCTGCAGCGTGGGCAACATTTTCGGATCGGCGCTGTGCTCCCGTCGTTCAAACTGGCGCTCTCGCCCAGGCGCGGGCCATTTCTCTGCATCCGAAGCCTTTTTCATCGTTGTCGCCCCCCTCTTTTCCCCTCCTCCGCCTTCTCCTGGTCCCTCTGCTCTTCCACTCCTTCCACCCCAGTTCCTGCTGCTGCAATTCGTCCAGATCCTCCTCCTTCCTCGTTCCTCCTTGCTCCTCCTCCTCCTTCTCCTCCTGCTCCATTCTTTTCCTTTAATTATGAATAGCACCTCCTTGTCGCGCCCCGAGGCCGGTCGAAAGGGCGGGCCGGGAGTTTCGCCTGATACTTCCTCACCATTTATGAACCTGAAGCTCAAGCGTTTGCAGCAGTTTCGCAATTTGAGGGCTCTCACCTTCTCGCCGCGCACATTCGCCAAACAAAAACTGCAAGAGCTTCAAGGATTGAGGGGCCGTTTTCAAAATGTGGTTCTCGGCCTAGCGCTGCGCACATTCGTTTAAACAATTGTAAGAGGTTCACGGATAGAGGGCAGATGGCTTTCACAATGTGGCTCTCGCCATCGCGCTGAGTACATTCGTCTGAAACATTGCAACATGTTTCAAGGATTGAGGGCGGTTCGTTTTCAAACTGTGACTCTCGTCTTGGCGCCGCGCGCATTCGTTTAACAAAACTTGCAACAATTTCACGGGTGGAGGGCGGTTCGTTTTCAACATGTGGTTCTCGCGTTAGCGCCGCGCACATTGGTTTAAACAATTGCAATAATGCCACGGGTTCCAATGGTTAACTTACCAGAAACAGTGTTTTGGAAAGATTCAGGACTGGAGAGGCGCAACAGTTACGCTGATTCTCGGTGCCGATGTCCCAGGAATGGTGTTCTGGCGCGATTCAGGATCGTCAAGACGCCAGTCAGGTTCATTCGTGGCGTTGCTGTCCCGATCATGTTGTTTTGACACGCTGCAGGATCTTCAAACGTGTCCCTAAACGGGGCACTTCTAAACCTTGACGGGGCCTATGATGAGGGAACCCAAGGCGAGGGTCTCTTCCAACATCGTTGATGTGTCTTGGGCTTACACTGATCCTCCTCCTCCTCTCCTCCTTCTCCTCCTCCTCCCCCTCCTCCTCCTCTTCCTCCTTCTCCTCCTCCTCCTCCTTCTCCTCCTCCCCCTCCTCTTTCCCCTCCTCCACCTCCTCCTCCTCCTCCTCCTCATATGTACGCAGCTTCCTTTCTCCGACTGCGCATAACACGATGAGAACTGTTGTGGAGTTCCAGGTCGGCTGTGAGCGCACCCGGCTTGACCCCGCCACTCCCCCCTCGCCCATCTCCTTCTCCTCCTCCTTCTCCTCCTCCTCCTCCTCCTCCTCCTCCTCCCTGTCAGCGTTCTCCTCACCACTCCCTGCCCCCCTCCCGGCCCCCCCCCATCCCCCTTATGCTCCTGCTCCGCCTGCTCTTGCTCCTCCCGCTCCTCCAGCTCCTCTTGTTTCTGCCCACGCTCCTCCTGCTGCCCGTGCTCCTCCCGCTACTCCTTCTCCTGCTCATCTTCCACAGAGAATGAAGGGACGGGATCGGGAAAGGGATGCTTTGTTGAAACGTTCCGTGGACTTGGATACGGCCAGGGGGCAAGCGGACCTGGAGTTCGCGGAAACACGGCGAGGAAGGGCAGCATGCTTTCGGGGCCACATCGAAGAGGATGATGAGCCTGACGCCGACGACGAGGGAGAGGAGGAGGGAAAACGGAGGAATGGAAACCATACGTCGGAGGGTAACAAGAGGCTACGGAGCTGTCCAAAGGTACCCGGAAGGCCCATACAACGAACCGCGGAATCCTGGCAGAGGCCCCATAGAAGACCTCGATTCTCAATCCTCGGACCTCCACGGCCCAGGAGGAAAATTGGCACGAACGGAGCGGGTCCTGAGGAAAACGGGCCCTGGACCCCGGGAGGCTTCCCCAAAAACCAGACTTGAGGCGTTCTGTCCACGGATCCGGGGCCCAGGGAGGGCCCCAGGGGCCCTAAGCAAATCTGAGCAGGTCCAGGGATGCGGGGCAAGGGTCGCCGACTTATCGCAGGCCTGCCCGAAGCGCCCCGTCTGTGAGGGGGGGGGCCTGATGCAAGGGAGCAGACGACGCCCCCCCCCCCCCTCCCACGCGATCAAGCCCGTGAAGGTGGGGTCCCTAGTGCGGGGAGCAAAGGCGCTCGTCCTCTCGTTGGCACCTGAGCGACGAAAGCAGGCGGGTCTTACGCGAGACTATATAGCGACCTTCCGCCGCGGTCAACGCGGGCCGCCAAAGTGGCACACCGCGCGGAAAAAAAAACGCTTGCGCGTGGCGTTATGCGGGAAGCTTGCGCGCGAATGCCGGCGCAATCGACCAGGTTTTTTTTGTTTTCCTTTTATTTTTTCGGTCGCTTACCTGAAAGGAGGAGGGGGAGGGAGGGAGGAGGGATGAGGAAGGGGAGGATTAATGAGGAATGGTGATGGTGATGGTGATGGTTATGGTGTCGTTGCTGTTGGTGATGGTTTTGACGATGGCGATGCTGATGCTGATGCTGATGCTGATGCTGATGCTGATGCTGATGCTGATGCTGATGATGATGATGATGATGATGATGATGATGATGATGATGATGATGATGATGATCATGATGCTGCTGATGATGATCTGGACACCTCCTGGCGGCTGAAAACGGATCGCTGCTGGCATGTGAACACGGCGGCAGGCGGGCTAGCAGCCGAGGGCGGCGACTGTTGCGTCCGACGCCCACACCACCACCGCTGTGCAAATCCGCTGGGCGAGCCGCCGCGCCATGGTGCCGCGGCGGCCGTCGCTATGCAGGCGACCGTGCGCCTGCGATGCGGCCGCGAGCTTCGCGAGCGCCGCGGCGGCGCCGGCGCTGAGGCGGCCGCCCGCCTTGACGGCGATGCTGTGCACTTGCTCGCCGTAACGCGCCGCCTTGGCCCGGTCGCCAGATGCAGCGGCGGCCCCGGGGGCGCGGCCTGCGTCGGCCCGCGAGGGATTGAAGGGCGACTGGACGGTGACATCCAGCCAACAACGCTCGGCACTAACAGGGAAGGCGACGATGAAGACCATGATGACGAAGAAGAAGATGATGCTGATGATGCTGCTTATGGTGCTGAGGGGTGATGATAATGACGATGCTGCTGATGATGCTGATGAGAATGATAATGCAGATGCTGATGATGCGGGTGATGGTGATGAGGATGATGACGTGGTGATGCTGAGGATGAGGGTGAGAGGGAGGATAAGGATAATGATGCGGATGAGGATGAGGTTGGTGATGGTGATGCTTTTGACGACGATGGTGATGATGCTGATGCTGATGATGCTGATGATGATGTTGATGATGCTGATGATTGTTCTGATGATGATGAAGCTGTTGATTATGATGTTCACGCTGCTGCTGATGATGATCTTGGTGATGTTGATGGTGATGATGGTGATGATCATGTTTCTGCTGCTGCTGATGATTGTGATGCTGCTGATGATGATGATTATTCTGATGCTGCTGATGATGATGATGGTGACGATAATGCTGATGATCATGCTGCTGATGCTGATGCTGATGCTGATGATGCTGGCGATGCTGAGGATGATGATGCTGATTATGATACCGGTTCTGATTATGATGAAGGTGATGATGACGATGGCGATGCCGATGATGATGCTGCTGATGATGATTAAGCTGTTGCTGCTGATGATGCCGATGCTGATGATGCCGATGATTCTGATACCGATGATGAAAATGATGCGGATGATTGTGATGATGACGATGCTGATGATGGTGGTGATGATGATGCTGACGACGATGATGATGAGGATAATGATGATGCTGATGATGATACGGATACTGATGATGCTGATGATGTTGCTGATGCTGATGCTAATGATGTTGCTGCTGATGATGATGATGCTGATGATGATGACGATGATGATGATGATGTTTTTTTCCCCAGAGTTCACCCATAGAGTTCGATCCCCATTTCGTTCCAGGCCTTCGCAACAGCCCTATGCCGCCGAGCCTGTGATCGGAGCCTAGCTTCGAAAGCCTGCTCTGGGGTACCAGGGAGGTGGTTACGAACGTGACCATGAACACTGAGAAAGGCGTCACACATGCAAGCACAGAGCAGACGACGATTGGCGCACAGAGGGAAGAGCAGGAGAAGATAGGAAAACCACGGCCTCTCAAAAGTCTCCTCAGGAAAACCTCTGCCCATCCAGCGGAGGCACAAGCTTGTTAATCTGGGACACGTACGGTAGTGCTTCAAATTGTCGAGGTTCACGGAGGCACCTGCAGCAGAGTACTCAATAGGACATCCAAAACAGCACGATGGACGAGTCATATCCCGAAATCTGGCCGAAGTGCATACCCCTCTACAGCAAGATCGTAAGACACGGAATCCAATATGTGTGCTAGTCATCCGGCAGACAGAGCGGATTTGCTTAATACACGAGTCGAGCATACAACGACGCATATCAGGAA